TCCCTCGGACCAGCCTCTCCCTCCAGCCTCCCGGTCTCACTCCTCTGTCTGCTCTACCCCAGCGCCGGGCTGAGATGCGCTCTGCTTACACCTGAGCCCCACATCTCGTGGCTTACAGGCGGGCAGGCTCTCGCGAGAGCTTGGGGCTCCGGCTTTGATAGACATCAGCTGTCTCCCCCCCCTTCCTCCTCCTCCTCCCCCCCTGCTCCCCACCTCCGCTCTCCGCCTTGTTGCATCTCCCGGAGCACTCGCCCGTCGAGCCGGGGCCGGGAGCTGGAGAGCGGCTCCTCTGATGCCCACCAGGCAGGTGCTACACCTGTAGCTGCCACACATGCGCACTGCACGCGTTGCCAGCCCCCCACAGGCACCCACCCCATAGGTGTGTAGAGTGTGCGCCCGTGGACACACGTGTGCACAGAGCTGGTGGCAGGTGGAGATCACCAGAGATCCTGGATTTCTCTGCTTAAAAAAAAAAATCCCCAATTTTCGGTTTGAAAAAAGGAACGCACAACCCACATTTTCCCATGATTAAAATGAAACACCACTATATATATATGTGCGTGCGTGTATGTGTGTGTGTGTATATATATGTATATATATGTGTGTGTGTGTATGTGTGTGTGTGTATATCTATGTATATATCTATGTATATACTCACACATATATATGTATGTACACACACATATTTCACACATATATATGCAAACACACATAAATATATGCATGCATGCATACATCTATCTATCTATCTATCTATCTATTTCTCTGGAGATCACTAGGTTTGTCCACAATAAATTCCGGGTCATCTTTTAGGCTAGCCTGCGGTTATTGTTGAGGAATACGATGAAAAATGAATTCACACCTATTGTCTCCCATGGCCTCGGATCCTCACTGCCACGCATTTGCATTTCCACAACCCTGCATTTTGCATCTTGGCTTCTGTTCCATCCAAGAGAACGCACAACACCAGCAGACTCTCCCTGTGCCTGAAGAAGGGTGCTTGTGCTCGCAAGCTTGCAAAGAACAATGTTTCCAACTCTTTAGTTGGTCTAATGAAAGAGATGGCATTCACCCAAAAAACCTTGTCTGTGAAAAATTAACTGTATACAGTGTGTCTATAGGGGTGTGCTGGACAAGTGGGGTCTTATATTTGGACAAGACGGGAGACATCCATCGGTCAGCATTTAAAGGAACAGGCTTGTACGGAAGGAGCTTTCTTTCCCACTCTGCTCCTCAGAGAGACAAACGTATATACCCCCTCTAAGTATCCCGGCAGAGAGAAAGATGGTTGTCTGTGCTGAGGACTCTCCACACAGAAAGTGACATTTCAGCGTGAGCCTCTTACCTCCAAGAATTATAAATAGGCTCCTTGAGAATAATCACTGTGACAGACGTTGCTTGAAAGCAGGCAGGGTCTATTGATTTCCATATAATTTCATTCCCCCCACCCCCACGTCTAGTTTTGGTGATGATATTATTGTGTCAGGCACCACGAGCGACATCCACTTAGCCTACAAGGAGCATGTGCTTTCTACATGGAAAACGCTGTCGAAATGAAATGGTGTGCTTCCTATATACATTCTTCTTCCTTAACCCTGCTTTTCCCGCCGACATGATTTGAAACACAAAATAGCCACGGAAAGTGCGTGTGCATGTAGGGATGTGTATGTATACGGGTACATGCATACACATATGTATATACACACATAAATATAGATGTATACATGCATATAAATGTGCATGTATACATGCATGTATGCATATATATGCGCACATACATATATACATATACATATACATATACATCTGTCTATATATATATACACACATTTAGCTGTTAGTGTGTATATATATACACGCATGTACATATACACACACACATATAAATACATATAAATGTATGTATACATCTGTATGTATGTGCGTGTGCATGTATGTATATATATACACACAGATAAATGTGTATACATCTATATGTGTGTGTGTTTATATATGTGTGTGTATATATGTATGTGCGTGTATATATCTATATATATATAGATATACACACACACACATGTACGTATTAAAGTGTGTATTTTGGTACTTTTGGGTAGTGAGAGTTCAAGGAAACTAATTTGAATGTCCTTTGTATACAGTTTCAGAAGAAAAGACAAGGAAGAGGAGACTGGAAAATAACGTCGTTGCCATTTGTTTTGTTTTTCTTTCTTCTTGTCTACGGTTTCCTGTGTGACTTCTTTAACTTCTGCATTTCAATGAAAAGGCCATGAAGAAGCAAACAGAATAAGGTTTTATTCTGTTTTATTCTACTGGATTAGTATCCAGTAGAAGCACCCCTTCTACTGGATACTAATTTGGGGCTGTGGCCTGACCGCTTTTCGAGTGCAGTTCTCAATGTGCAATTCGTGTAGCTGAAACTAGTGACTGCAAAACCTTTTAATTAATCAGCGTGCTAATTTGCCTGGAGGCGGGGGGTAGTGGTTAATCTGAATTTCCCAGGGACCAGAGCAGGTGAATCCCAGTGAGGTAGGCACTCCATTGCTACCCCTAGGTGATCGCCCAGATGTTACTACATTTGTGGCAGCAGTGTTACTGAAAGACACCAGGAAAAAGAAGCGGGGGGTTTAAACCGCTCTGCCTTGGGTCATCTTTAAAGAGTATCGGAACATTTCTCTTTCTCCTGAACTGAGATGCATTCATATCCCTCTATCCACACACATCAGCACGGGCATAGGCAGAGCGCATATTAAAATGCCAGGTAAAGTCCCCATTTGTCATCATAAGCCTTTCCCCAGTTTCTCATCCAGCCGGGGAGGAAAGAAGGGAGGACGTTCATTACTTGTGCGAGAGGGAGCCGGGTCTCCATCCATTATTGTGTCCCTTGGGATTGCTGAATGCAACTTGATCTCGGAGGACACGGGAGGGATAAACTGTAGTCTGAAAGATGCTGGTTTGAAAGCGGGGGCACCTCGCTGCTTATCGAAACAGCTGGCTAAGAGCAACAACACAAGGATGGATGTAGTTGCATTAAGCATGCGCCCTTGGCTCTAGTTTTGGAGGTGCCATGGTTTGGGGGTGATGGTTTGGAGAGATGAGCTGAACTGCTCTGAAATCAGCAGCTGCTGGAAAGGGGGTGCTGCAGCGCGATGCAAAACAGCGCACTTGCCTGGCTCCCGGCAGGCACCGAGTCATCCCATCAGGGACACGAGGGCATTCCTCCCCGGGACTGCGGAGGGACAGGCTCCGCGCTGGGGAAGTGGGCTTGATACCAGCAGAAAGCCTGGCAACATTTATTTCTCGGGTCTGACCAGTCGGCAGGGGAGGCCTCCACGTGGGGATAAAAGCCAAGAAAAGCAACCGCAGTGACAATGAGTTATGCCACGGGCTTGGATTTGGTCCTTCCTATCAGTCCACGCAGAGGGCTGGACAGCTAATGACAAGCGGATCAGTCACGCAGGCGTCCATCACAACTGGTAGACGAGGCTGATCAACTGCAGTGGACGTCTCTGAGAGAGGCAAGGGAGGAAAGGAGTGGATGGGGGCAGGAGGGGTGTGTGTGTGTGTGTGTGTGTGTGTGTGTGTGAGAGAGAGAGAGAGAGAGAGAGAGAGAGAGTGAGCCCAGTCACCACTGTACCTTTTTTGGCTACACATCCCTGAGCCTGCCTTTCTCCTCTCCGGCGGCTGGGCTCCTGAACTGAAAGCTTTAACTTCTCACCCCTACTGACCTTTGGAGCACTGGACATTAGGCCTTCGCAGCCATTAATCAGCCCACCCTGGGGAGTAGAGCCATACGGTGCTAATTACATCACTTCCAGAAGGCTCCTGCGTGTCCTTTAGGCCAAAGCATGTCCCAGCCTCAACACGAACCAGTTACGTCCCTTAACCCCTGCACACTCTGAAGACAGCCTTAGCCCAGCCTGCCACGCTAAGACAGACAAAAGTTGATAATTTAGAAATGTTTTTTTCCCTCCTGGACTAGTTCCTTTATCCCTACATCTTTTTATTTGGTTCTTGTCCTTCCTTCTAAGCCCGTGACACCTCCCCCTCCAAATTTTTCTTACTCCCCTTTAGACTCAGAGCACTCCTGGGACTATCAGTCGTCCCCCAGCCCTTCACAACTGCTCTTCCCTCCACCCCCTCACTCCCAAAACATCTGTTTTAAGCCGCCTGGTGTCTGTTGCCTCTGTATCAGCTCCTTCTGGAAATTTAGCAATCTAGTCGAAGGGGGGGCGAAAGCGTGCCTCACTCCCTGCTAGTTTTCTCAGACTGGGAAGCACCAGGGGCTGAGCTAATAACCCACCTGGCTGTAGCTGTAGCTGTACCTGCCTGCACTACAGGCTGCGGACAGCTCAATTAAGTTTTGTTATGTCAAACTGGGGAGGGCTGGGGATCATACACGTTGGGGTTGGGGGGTGCAATAAGAACGGGGCTCAGATGCTCTCTCTCTCCTGTGTTTCAGGACCGGTTGGGCTGGACAGTTCCCCAGCTACTCCTGACACCCGGCCGCCCCCTGCTTGCTCCCTTCCCTCAGGTTTGACTGCTGCAGAACTGGAAAAGCCCATCGCATTGGAGACGGATGTCCCTGCCCGCTGCTGTCCAAATTGCAAACAGGGGTTGGGATCATTTCCCTGCGGCTTCTTGCTCTTGCCTCCTGGGTTATTATAGCCTTGGAGCTGTGACACACCGGGCTTGGTTGAAAACTTCAAGTCAAGCGTGCCTCTTCCAGGTGTCTCTTTGACAGATGCTAATAGAGAAGCGGGTAGGAAGAAGAGGATAGATAGTGTCTCACTGACAGATGCTAATGGAGAGGATAGACAGGCTTTTTTCTACGGGGTTTAGTCTGGAGAACTATTTTGGGTCGCCCTGGCTTGTCTGGTATGGTAATATAACACATGGGGAGATAAAAAGCAAAGCCAAGGAGCCCTTTGGACACTTTTCTGAGATGGGCGAGGAGGTGACA